TGGAATTAACAATATCATTAAATGCCATAAATACCGTGTTAAAGAACTTGTTTCCATTTTATTAGCAGCTATTATTATTTCGATAAAAACGACATTTTTGCCCATCTATCGTTCGCCGAATGCAAAGGATTTCTTCTTCGAAGACTAAACGATTGCCAACGATGTGTGCGCGCATATTCTCTCCCTCTCTCTTTTTATATTATTTTATTTTATTTTTCGTGCGTTCATTTTCAAGAGTCTTTTAAATGTTCGATGGATGTTTCGTTTTGTGAGCATTTAATTTTAATTTCTTTTTTCGATCATTCCATTGCTCCGATACCAGTATTTAAAGAACTAAATGTAATTTGTGTGGTTGGATCATTTATGTTTTTATGATCTTTATGGGCTCATAACGTTAATGAGAAATTTCGAGTGGCTTTTTCGTTTTAATTCAGAACATTAAAACGCAAATGAAGCGCTCGTTCTGGCCATACCATGGCAACGATTTAAAAACGCATTCATTTAAAAAAAAATGTCGTTACTTTTAATATGAATGTAGGAAAGAATGACTTTTTCGGTCATTCAATCGAATATTCCATTTTTGACTAAGGTGATCTTTGCCTTCTTCATCTTCATTAGTTCAACAACAACAAAAAATCAAGTCTCGAATAGACCAGAGACAAAATTTAAAGCAGTTGTCTAATTTTCAAAGGTTTTTTTTTTTCGTTTGAACATTTAACAAATGTATTTTGAGAAATAAACACTTTCTAAAAGAGGCTGTGAAAATTGAATTGGCCGTTGGTCTTTCATATTTTGCACAAAAGCAACCGCTTCCTTCCTTTTTGCTGAACTCAATTCCACAATTTAAAGAAAACATGTGTCACACACGAACAAATGGCCAGGAAGTAGATGCTCTGCAGCACACAATCGCATCTTAACATATTATCTTACAATGATGAATGTCATAATATGAACTGAAAGCAAACAAATGTTTTGATGATTGTGACAAAAATGCAAAAAAAAGATGCTGCAGTAATTAAAAGTACTGAAAATGAGCAAATTTAGTTTCTTTTTGTCGATTTTTCAACAATGGTCAATGGAAAAATTGGATAGGTGTTCAGATTGAGCTATTTGCTACATTTACGAAGCATGCACAAGGAACAGGTGATGACTCAATATCATACCAGACGATCGGCTTGTCTAGCCAACAATTCATTTTTCTTCATGTATCAATATTCAATTGTTTAATTCTCTGTGGAAAACAATGAGAGATGTGCCTGCATTCTGGAAAATTCAATAGTCAAACCCTCACAACATGATGTCATTGTATGCATCCATCTTGGCCATTTTACCAAAAAAACGAATACAACGCCCCGAAATAAAAACACACTGCAGAAAATCCAGTCAACACAATAAAACAAACCATATAAATAACCAATGGACATATTTAAATTTATTTATTCAGAACGAAAAACAATTAACCACCATGAAATTGGCCAGACCGGCCCAACATCATGGAGACATTTAAAAGCGATAAAATACAACAAAAGTGTGCGCTTATTCGTTTACAAATTCGTCGGACACACGGAACATCTTGCCTTATTTGAAATTAATGAAGGTGCGAACAATCGAAGCGCACAACATTTTGAATGTGTTATGGTCCAATTCATAGAAAAGGCAATAAATCGTGGAATGAATAATTTCGGAATAACATTATTAATTTGAACTTATTAAAAACTACAATGTATACAATGATTTACAGAGAGAGAAAAAAATGACACAAATTTGTACGCATTTTGATTTATTTACTTATTAGTACACGTGTTTATTGCCTATTTGGCAATTCAATCCAGTATTTATCCCAAAGTGAAATGATTTTGGTAGCTTCAAACGCATACTTTTAAACAATTTTCGGAAAATCATTTGATGATCGAAAACATTTGTTTCCATGAAATGTGAGAAGATTATTTGGAAGAAAGTTATTTACAAATTGAAATACATTGAAATATACAAGGGATGTTCAAAAGTATCACTCGTTCCAAACATGTTCCAGATGAAAAAATAATTTTCATTTTAAAAAGAAAAAAACTATATGCAATACGTCACCAAAGTGCAAAAGACATATTTTTACAAAGTCAATAATAAAAATGAAATAGAGTTTATTGGTACTCGCTTCGATAATCATAAGGAAAGAGTTTTTTTCACGTCGTCCCCGTCTGTACTTTTATTGGTAGTAAAAACATTACCGAAATTTGGTGCATTGCTGTTTCAATAAAATTTATCGTTTCCGGAAAGACATGAACGAACATAAGGCGATATATGTAATATTACATTGTAATAATCTAATAATATATGTGACAAAGCACCACACGCGCCTTCTATGCGGGCGGTGATTCGCTGTGCACATTTCATCTTGTTTAGAGCAATTATTTAACGACAAAGACATCAATCGATGGCTGAAAGAAAAACAAACTCAAAAACATAGCAGCTCTCAATTGACTTTGTAATAGGCAGAAACAACAATGTTATTGTATTTAATTGGACATTTGCTTTGTTCGATTTTTAAGCAATGATGCCGAAACTTACCTGCGCAAAATGGGCACGGATGAGTTGACCTAACAAAAGTCAATTCGCAGTTGAAAAAAAGACGTTCGCAAGCTGCGATATGAAGATGCGACCGAATTTTTTTGTCAATCAGCTGAATTCCACCCTCTGATTTAGGCACAACGATAGCGTTGCGCAACAGGAGATTTTTGTTGTTGTTTTCGTTGGTGTTATTCAGGAGGCATGGCAAATGTGGAGAACCTTTTGGATTCTATCACACTTCAAGATGATGGCATAAGCCCTTTTTAACCATACTGTCAAATTGTTTATTTGTTTTTATTTATGATAAATATTTATTGAATTCTTATGTACGATCGGGTTCCGTTAGCACGCGTTTGCCGTCATCTCAACAATTGATGAGCATTTCACTCAATACTGGTTGCAAATAACGATGAAGAAAACACCCAAAAACCCTAAGACATCGCATGATATACTACATATGCATCCTTGATGCATATTGCATACGCTACACAATCGCTGCACGAAATAATACCAAGAGATACTTCAACCATAAAGTGCTCTTAGTCGGTATTATTATCGCTGCCAATATACTTGGAAGTAATGCTTGATGTATCATTGTATTGACGAATGAAATATAAAAAAAATATTTTGAAAACCCAGAAAAGGAATGAAAATAAACAGAAATGTGGTAGTTTGTTGTACTAGAGCCACTTTTCATAAGGTCGATCGAGTATTCTGTTTTTTTCGAAAGGTCTTACACAATTTCGTTTTAATTTGATCTATTTCCAGATCATCTTCAACGT